GTACTGCTGCCATCCACTTCTCCTGCTTGGTCTCGGGCTTGTTGGACAGCGTAGCCGCCCAGTGGAACACCTGCATGAATATCGCCACGAACGGATGGGGCAACTGCTTGCGTAGTCTACCACCTCGCCGTCCTTCCTTGGAGTCCCGGCTTGCCTGCTCGTTCTGCACCGCTAGGTCGGTGTCCGCGCTGACGTCGTGCATCCCGTAGACCGTGCTGCTGAGGTCCGCCAGCGCGCGGCTGACCGTGAGAATCAGTTTGGCGAGCAGCAGCACCGGGTTCTGCAGCGCATTTGCTCCTCCTGCCGCCCTGCGGGCCTCGTTTTTGGCGGCGCTGCGACCCTTCTTGGCGAGCGGTGCGGACGACAGGTCCCCCATCCACGTCGGTCTCGGCAAGTCCGCGGCCTCCTCCGCGCTCATCTGCCACGGTCTCGCCCTCGAGATATGTGCCGATGTGTCTTTCTGGCGGCGAAGGGTCAATCTCCGCTGGAAGATGACTCTTAGCCACATGGCTGCAAAGATCACCCACGCCACTCGAGTGATATGTAATCGCAGGGGGTGCAGGCCAAAGACACGGGAGGTCTCGTGGCCGTGGATGTAGGCGAGCCTCGGGACGGGCAGGCTCCATGGATGAGGACTCCCTGGAGGTGCTTGCAGGCATTTGGCTGACTGGCGAAAACCCTTCGGCATACAGTGCCGTTTTTGATACATGCTCCGCGTGCGGGCCATGTATCGGAAATAAAGGGTTGGTTAATACATACAAGGATGATTTATGCATACATGTATGCATACATAATTCATGTATTAAGCATCCTATGTTTATATATATATAATCCTATGTATCAAAAACTGCCCTGTACAACCATGTGCTAGTCGGCGTAACTGTCGAACATAAATGGTGTACTCGGTGTTTTCGTCGCATGTGATTCATGAGATCCCTCCTCGTCTGAAATGTCCTCCCACATGTGCCACCTTCCTCCTCCATCCACTCACACTGCCAGGGGCACTCCAGGGGGGCCTCGGGGTCTTCCGTGATCTCCTGCACTATGAGGCTCGAGGGGGGGATTACGACAGACAACTCGCGGGCTCTGATCTCAACTCTTGACCAGAACTCGCGATGCTCTTCATTCACGAGGTCGCCTGGACAGCGAGCAAGGTGCGCGCAAACTTCGCCGTCGTCCAGAAGTTCAG